AATTCTCATTTCAACTGTCCTCTTCTGCAAAGCTTTAATAAGTAATGAAAAAAACTCACCCTCTTTCGTGTATTGATGAATATAGGTAGATAAAAATTTTAGAGAGAAAAATAGAGGCTGGGTCACCAATATGAGAACATAGATAAGTAGGCACATTTGCCTGGTAGCTGGTCAGCTCATTTACAGGAGAATCTGTAGACAGAAACTTGGAGATTATGTGCAATCTATAGGCTGATCTAATGACTGTCATAAATGATAGTTTCACATAGATGCACCAACTGAAAAGTGACATACTGATGGTCCCCGATTTATGATAGTTCAACAAGATTTTTCGACTTTACAATGGTGTGAAAACAATATGCACTCAATAGAAACTGTACTTAAAGTACCCATAAAATCATTCTGGTTTTCACTTTCAATACAGTATTTAATAAACTTCATGAGATATTCAACATTTAGTTATAAAATAAGCCTTGTATTAAAGGATTTTGATCAACTGTAAGCTAATGTAAGTGTTAGCGCATTTAAGACAGTCTAAGCTATGATTTATTATTTTTCATTGTATTTTTGTAGATATGGGGTCTTGCTATGATGTTCAATCGCTTGGGATTATTAAATGCATTTTCGACTTTATTTTTAACTTACGATGGGTTTATCAGAATGTAACCCTATCATATGTCGAGGAGCATCAGTCAACATTTCTGTGATTTCTACTGATGAAGGTCACAAATATTGCTAATATCTCTATGTTTGTTACCTAGATTCATAATTGAAGGCCATGCTAAATTTCAGTTAGAGGTGAGTGGAAATACATTATTTATTTTAACATCTAAGAATAAGGACCCATTGTAACATAGAATCCAGTATTCTGAAATCTTGATTTCTAGATTTACCGGTGTACTGGTATAAAGGAATATGCACTATAATACTGTCTTATTTTATGTGTATATATTTGCTATTTAAAAAAATTATTTCTAGAGAATAAGAATTATACAATTGCCTTAAATGTCTGTTACTTAATAAATAATGATAATTTAAATTGAATCAAAAGTTTAATGACTTTGTTTTTTCTACTTTTTTATCCTGTACTTTTTTCTTTATTGCATGTGTGTGTGTATGTATATACAATGTATATATTTTGCTTCGTTTGAGTACTGAATTAAGTAATTCTTATATAAAAAGCTTGTGGATTTTAAACTGTCAGAGTCTTTTTATGCCCATGAATGTTTTCCTTTTACTCTTATACATGATTGATAATTTTGCTGGACATAGAATTCTAGGTTCAAAATAATTTAATCTTAGAAAGAACCCAAGAAGACATTTTTTCATTGTCTTCTAACATCCAGATTTGCAGATGATACTTTTGTATTCTAATTCTAATTTCATGCTTTTGAAGCCAAAAATAACTCTTTTCATATTTCTGTAAAGGTTTTATGAATTTTTCTCTATTTTTGAAGTTCTGCATTTTCACCAGGTTATGAACATTCATTCCTGCTTGGCAGTTGATGGTCCTTTTAGATTAAAGATTTGCATCTGTTTTTTCTAGCTCAGGTAAATTTGTTAATTATTCTTTCATTATTCAGGTCTTGTTCCTTATTAATTCTGTCTTTATAGAGTCTCTATTAAGTAGAAATTGAAACTTTTAAAATCTATATTTTTTCTGCTTCTTCATACTTTCTACACCTTTACCTTTCTTAATGCATTCTGGGACAATGGTTTGCTTGATCTTTGAGGTTGCTAATCTGTTCATTATTGTGTCCATACAAAAAAAAAAAAAAAAAAAACCCAGGTATTTCTTAAAAATTAAAATTTTGCAAGAGCTTTTTCTCAAACATATATTGGGTCACAGATTCCTTAGTGCTTCTATGAACATATTTTTACCTTCGTTTTTTTCCTGTGATTTGGAAAGGGAGAGTAATTGTTAAATGTTTTAACCAACCATCTTGAATCTGGAATCTGCAGATTGTTGTCTAGTATATGTCAGTTTCCATGTTAATCACTGGATAGACAACACAGGCATAGAGATCTCAATCAAGTGGAATATCATGAACATCTCAAACACTAAAGCATTTTCTTCTGAGGTACACAGAAAAAGGTGTGCAAGAGAGGTGATCTGAACAGCAAGTTGGGGCCCCTCATTCTGTATACTTTTTTAAGGTGTTTGATTTTATCATATACACAGTAGGTAGCTGAAAAGGGATTAATTTTTGTGTTTATCTGTTTTAGATAGAGATGACGTCTTGCTATGTTAACCAGGCTGGTGTCGAAATCCAGACCTCCAGCAGTCCTTCTGACTCAGCCTCCCAAGTAACTGAGACTACAAGTGCATCCCACCACGCCTCACTGATTTATTATTTTTCATTGTATTTTTGTAGATATGGGATCTTGCCATGTTTCTCAGGCTGATCTCAAACTCCTGGCCTCAAGAAATCCTCTTGTCTTGGCCTCCTGAAGTACTGGGATTAAGGGTGTGAGCCACTATGTCTGTCCAGTATGAAAAGTTTTTAGGAAAATGATTTTGTTAATGCCGTGAAAGATGAAAAGAAAGAAGACAGGACTGGACAGGGGAAATCTTTTAAGAGGTAATTCCTGTAGTCCAGAAGCATCATTGTCATCTAACCATTCGTAATGGCATTAGAGACTGGAAGAGGAGCAGAAAATACTTGACCCGATATCTTTCCTAAAAGCATTTTATTACAAACTGGCATAACATCTCATATAAGAGCTATATCATTAACCAACAACCACAATGGTCACCTTTTTGTAACTTATTTTGCTTGTTACTTTTTCCTTATCTGCACCGTAGTCAGGAGGAGTAGTGTCAGTAAAGTTTTATAATTTTGGTACTGTTATATGTTGTGTAAATTTTAGATCATGTATTTTATGCATAATGGGTAGATCATGGGCTGCTACCAGATGAAATTATATTAGAATTGTCTGGGTACTTGAGTATTGGTAGTTGGGAATCACGTGTAATTCTAAATTGTAAGCCCAAGTAACCAGATGTGATATTGAGAGGATGAGGCAAGTCATCCCTAAATTCCAAGGCAGATTCTTCCCAAACATGTACTGCATGGTTGAAGATGACAATGTTCACTAGAAGAGTAGAGGCATTCTTAGGTCAAGGATAGCTCTCTTACTAATAGAATTTACAACAAGGTTACATTTCTCTGACTAGAAAAATGAGCATTGGCGATATTTAATAAAAGTATAGTATTAAAAGTAAAAAAAAAAAACACACCAAATACTTGTTTTACTCATAGCCTTATGTAAAACAAAGCACTGATATTATTCCAGCAAGACAGATGTGGAGCAGGTGTTGAAATTTAATGGATGAATAAGTAATATAGAGGCAGTAGATCAGTAATGGGGATGGATTTGTTCATCAAGGAAATGGGTATAAAACAATGAATTATTAAAACATCTCTCGATTGTTTTCTTTCAAAAGTTTTCTTACGTCAGATGTAAGGCAGAGTTTTCAGGTTAAAAATTTTGGCTATAAAGTGAAGCCATATATTCAGATTTTTCAGACTTCTGTATTTTGTAAAGATATTCCTGTAAAAGTCAGTTTCCCCATAGAGGCATATCTTTAAGTCTACACACTGGCAAACAAAATAGTTTTATAGTCTAATGTACAGAAGTTTCAGGCATATTTATATTAACAAGAGTATATATGAAAACATTTGCTTGAAAAGTATACCATGAATTGATGTCAAATAATACATAATTATGATTTCTATATATAGATAAAGTGACTTTCACTAAAATCCATATATTTTTTATTTTATTAAACAGTATAAAAATTCATTGAAAGTCAACTAATTTACTGTGTGTCTCCCAAGCATCAGTCACTGTTCTAGATACCTGGGATACACCACTGAACAAATTAGGTGAAACATTCCTTTATTGAGGAACTTATATTCTTGTGTGGGGAGAAAGACTGAGCAATAAGCATATTATATAAGTTAAATACTTAGTAAAAAGTAATACGAAAAATAAAGCAGAAAAATAAAAAGAAACCAAGGTAAAAGGGAATTAGAAATGTGGGTGGGATAATTTAGTTTAAAATTTTAAATAGGTCTTAAGGTGGGTCTCATTGAGCAAGAAACATTTGTGTGAAGACATGAAGGAAGTGAAACAGTGGAAAAGGATTATGAAGTGCTGCCTTAAGCACTCTAAAAAAATGCATTTGTTTTTATAGGGAAATGTTCTATTTATCTTTTACTTAAATTGCTGAATTATTTGGTTAGTCAAAATTCCAAATTCACATTACCCCAGCATCGTTTCCTAAAACACACTGAAGTCCTTTTTACATCAATATCTACTTCTTTTGAAATAATTTATATCAATATATTTGTTCATGCCTATCTCAGAAACCAAAATGCAGGCGCTCCTCTTTTTAAAAAGAAATTATATATCTATATATATATATAAACAAACCAGGTATTACACTTCTGAAAAGATAAATACAACTTTACTCACATCTCAACCTCGACTATATTTGAAATCATAAAGCTTTTTGATTTCTAAGATGATATAAAGTGATATAGAGATCTTTGAGTGAATGTAGGGCAAAACTATTTGAAGTCTTTATGCTTTCTGAGTTCAATAAATAGTTTTCCATTTGAAATATGTACATGTTTTGCCCTTCCCTATGTGTTCATCTTCCTACCTGAACGATATTTGTTTGCCGAGGGTACAAATGCCTGTGCAATGATAGCTTTATAGGCAGACGGGAGGTTCAATCTGATTGCACTGAATGAAGTACAGTGATCTGCACTCACTCTTTCATAAGATATTAATTTTGGAGGTTATTGGAATAAACCCTAGACATTATATAGATTTGTCACTTTTGTCTATTTTAAAATGTCTGTTTTTATTACCTTCTGACTATTGTCTCTCTGTGCTAAATATTAAACTACCTCTTCTTTATTTAGTCATTATTTTAAGGAGCTATGAATTTCATATGCCAACTTTTTAATTTAATTGATTAAAAGCAAAACTAATTTTCTTAATCACAGTTTGCTTGGCATTACACAGCCCAACTTGCAGGCAGAGAAAAGAATACAAAACAAATAAGCAATCTGTACTTAAAAATAAGTTTTGGACAGTAAAAACAAATGCAAAATTGTACTCAAGTAAGCCATGCTAATTAAGTGGTGGAGTGGTATTTTTAAAGAATAAATCAATGAAAGAAAATATCTTATGCCTTTTCTTTGAAAATTAAGCACTTTCCTGTGTTCTTATTTTTGGTTAGAATTTGGCGAGGGTAACTCAAAGAATAGTTCTGGATTATTCTTATTAATAAGATAAAAGAAAATAGCAAGATCAGTATTCACCCAGCTCTGTGGCATGTGGAGCAAACAAAAAGGGTCAGAAACTTTTACTGCTTTTGAGTGCGGGTGTGTATTTTTCAGTGTGATGAGGAAAACACCCACTAATCATGCTAACTTTGCAGCAGTTAAACATGACATATGATGCTGCTTTTTTAGTTATGTGTTAATGTATGTGTTTGCTGCTGTGGTTGTATGATATAATGTTTGATTTTCTTGATGTTGTTACACATCTTACAACAAATGACCTGTTGTTTAAAATGTATGTATATGACATTAACGCTCAAGCACTGTTATGCTTTATTAGGATTTAATGTATGGCAAATAATGTTCAATTTTTAACATCCACTTATTGTGCAGATTTTTTAAAACTACTGTTTGCCCAGCCCCAGAAATGCACAGAAACAAATAGGGTGGGTGAGGCTTTTGACCTCAGTGAATTCCCAAGTTATTGGCAAAGGCAAAGGGGCTGCAGAAATCAGTGTCATAGTGCACTAATTGTGGGAAGCTATAGCCACTATGAGGCCATGAAAGAAGAAATGTCTAACTCAGGGGGTGAGGCAGTTGGGGGAGGGGCATTTCAGAGAAAGGCCTCTGGAGGAGATGGAGTCTGAGCTGAGTGTCTTGGGAAAGCAGTATTTTGTTAGGTGAAGAAGGTATAGGGAAGGCATTTCAGTCAGGGAAAACAGAGTCTACAAAGCAGGGATTCAAGAGAGAACATTTGAAACACTTGTCGTTGTTAAATGCAATGACATTTCAGATATGCCATTTTCACTCAGAAAAATAAGCAAAATTGAGATGCCAAGTTTGGAAAATTGATATCCCATTTCACATCTGAATTATTGAGAAATCCTTAAACACAAAATGTGCATTCCTCTGCTGTTTTTGAAAACTGAATGTTTGAACATTACCTCTTTTGCTGAAAGTAAACACTTTATAATGAACCAAAGTTTTCCTTAATTTTCCTAAATATACTCTATTAGAAAGAAAATACAGATTTTCCTTGCATCAGGAAATTCACATGCTCGATTTTAAGCATTTTTTGGAATGAACAATACACAATGAAAGATGTTGCTTTTGTCTGGAGCCACCTTCCTGGGCCTGCTAGCAAACTCAGACCCTCACGCTTTCACACCTGAGGCACAGCTGCCAACCACATCAAGGTCATCATCACAGGATGTTGATGCACACATTCACACACACAAATAATAAACTTAAATGCATTTTCCTTGGGGACAAAAGCAAATGGTATGGTTGAGTGTTCTTTGTCTTTCGCAAAGTGGCATGGTGGACACTATGTTTTATTTTAAAATTTTTAAATAACATTTATGTATTTTCATACATAAGTGGAATTCAATTCTGTCCAGTCCAGATAGCTGTTTCCCAAGGTGTGACCTTGGACTGTCTAAGTCAGAATAACCTAGCATATTTTGAGAAAGTACAAATTTCCTGGTTCTGTTCAAGATCTATTGAACCAGAATCTCTGGGTATAAGTACAGATGGTTTATTTTTAGCAAGTCCCAGAGTGATTTCTTGTCACTGTAGTTAGAGAACCACTAGTATAGATCTTGCCACTGCTTTTGCCAAGGGTTAAGTATTTAGAGCCCAAAATAAGTGAAAACCAATAGCATATGTTTGTTTGACTCGATCCATCAAACTTAAAAACATATATACATATATATGTGTGTGTATATATATATTTCAGAATTGTTGTCTCGTAGCCTTTTTTATAATTTCAGACTCCTTGTAGTTACCACGGAGTATACCACAAACATCATAATTTTTTGTGCATCTCATACTTTCAGAAGTCCAAAGCTCAATTTTATGAAGCATGGACTGCCTAGCATTTATTTCATCCTGACACATTTGAATTTGTCTTATAGAAAATTTTTTCTTTTTTACTAATTTATACCTCTCAAGGTTACATTTGCCTACAAACTCTTCTTTTGGTATTTTGGTATTTACGATGGGCATTGAAACCTACTTAAATTATTTCTGACATACATTTTCCTTCAAATGCCATAAACATTTTTTTCTCTCATCAAAATGTCTAGTGTTAGTTTTCTCTATTTCTGGTCTTAAAAAATATCCACAATTACCATTTATCAATATAATTTTTGCATAGGAGATATTTATCTTTTTAGATGGTATCATAATCCCCCCCATGCTATTTTGTAAAAATACTCTGAGTCCTCTTGGATTCGTAACTGGAGCGAGTGAGGGGCAGGAATGATTTTAATGTTTTTTTTCTTACCCTCTGTTTCTCCATGCCAGGTGACAAATGAGTGAGTTGTGTGTACTTGATAATGTAAGGACATTTTCCAGCACCACCAATGCTATAAAAGCAAACTAATATGGGATCCTCAAAATAAAACTGTGATCACATAGAATGCCAGAGCAAAATCTCATTCTTAACATCTCATTTCTGAATAGTTGTGTTACTGTATCTGTCAGCATTCAACTGGGAAACAAAACTGCTATGATAGGTGGAATCCACAATAAAAAGACCTTATACAAACGTGAGGACAAAGTTGAAGAGATGTCCAAAAGGAGGAGTTGAAGAATCAGATAAAAACCACTCAGTGGTCCTTTTGACACACTGGTATGAGAGAGCCAGTAGCTTATAGGAAATTCTGGGAAGCTAAGGATGTCCAGGTGCTGAAGTTGTACTGTGAAGTGGAGATGGCAGGGAAGTACATGGAAAGCTGTTGCCTCTGTGTCTGGTGGTGTGTCTGGGGTGGCAGTTGGTCAGCATTGCCACAGATGGGAAGAAGAACTGGACATGGAACAGAGGTGAAGTGAGTAAAGACAAGCTGGAATCTATAGGCATCTCTGCATCTGTCTTTCACTGCTTCTAGCCATGACAAACTTCAGAGTACAGTGACTACAGCTTCACCTTCATTTTTTTTCTTTTTTTTTGAGATGGAGTTTCCCTTTTGTCACCCAGGCTGGAGTGCAATTGCATGATCTCGACTCACTGCAACCTCTGCCTTGAGGGTTCGAGTGACTTTCCTGCCCCAGCCTCCTGGGTAGCTGAGATTATAGGCATATGCCACCAAGCCTGGCTAATTTTTTTTTTTTTTAAAGTAGAGACGGGTTTTTACCATGTTGGCCAGGCTGGTCTTGAACTCCTGACCTCAGGCGATCCACCCTTCTCTGCCTCCCAAAGTGCTGGGATTATAGGTGTGAGCCACCATGCCTGGCCTACCTCCAACTTTTAAAAACCTCATGTGAATTTCTATTTTGATCAACTATAATCTGGAGCCATAAGTGAAAGTAAACTTTGGGAAAATTCTTCCAGCATAGCCAATTTGATAAATTATCAATAGGAAACCTTTATAATCTTTATTAATTTAATGCATATACTTCTATTTTCTTCTAGAGCATTATGTTTTTTTTTTTCAGTTATAGCCAAAATTTTGTTTTAATCTGCTTTAAAACAGGTAGAAAACTATAGCCTCCCCCTCTTTCTTTTATATACTTCCTACATTGCTGATAATGTATTTTTCCTTATTGAGAAATATGTTATTGAGAAGTTGTATGCAATCTCTGAAAACACTAGGATCTACGTCTTCATGACTTGAGCCATAAGTCATTCACCTCTCTGGATCTGATCCACCACATTTCACAGGACATATAGGAATCTTTTGATAGCAGCATACTCCAAGCTGAGGAATCATTTGTTTGTTAGTCCTTGCTGTATAACAAACCACCCTAAAACTTAGAGGCTTAAAACAGCAACAATTCCTTAATTCTCCCGATTCTATGGGTTGGCTGGGTGCTTCCTCTGCCGGTTTCATAGACTTACCTGCAAAGTCCAAAATGTCTGGCAGTTGGTGCTTGCTGTTCACTGGACCATCTTGTTTTGCTTTTGTGTGTTTATCATCTTCTAGGAGGCTAGACTGGCTTCCTTTTGTATTGTTCTCAGGGCAGCGCTCCAATACAACAAACTGGAAGCCTGGAGACCTTTCAAGGCCTAGCTTCAGGTATCATACAATGTCACTTCTGCATATTCTTTTTGTCAAAGTTCTTCACAAGGCAAGGCCAAATTTCAGGACGGGGGAAATACGTTTCACATCTGATGAGAGGAGATGCCAAATGCTGTGGCCATGTCTTTCAAGGCACAATTTCATCTTAAAGGAGAAATTATCAGTTAGGTTTCTTTAGTAAGAAACTCCACCCTCTGCCTCCCCTCTTCCTTCCTAAAATACACAGACACTACTAATCATTTCTTATAAGTATCAGTGGTTCTCAGTTGAGTGCAATTTTGTCCCTATCTCCCTTCAGGGACATTTGGCAATGACTGGAGGCATTTTTGATTCTCAGCCAGCCTTGGGAGTCACTACTGGTGTCTAGTGGCTAGAAACCAGAAATGGCGCTACACACCCTGCAATTTATAGAACAGCTCCCTATTACAATCAGTTATCTGGTCCACATTATGCTGAGATTGAGTAACCCTGCCTTATATGGAATATAATTCTAGTAAGTTGCCTGAGTAGAACTTTGGTCAAGAGTAATACCTAAAGGGATTCTTTTTACACAGTCTGAAATGATTTAAAATATTGAAGGAATCATAAATTTCTTTTTGGGTGGAAAGGGACTAGTTATGGAAGCTGCCTTTCTATCATTCATTATTTATGAGCAAACCATTTTAGATAGAATATGAACCACTCAAACCCTTCTTTAAGATTCAAACTGAACACAATACTTAGACTTTTGAGACTCTGCCTATTAGTTTTAATTTTCACCTCTCATTCTGGCTTTTGCCTTTGTAAACATACATCATTTTAGCTACTTTTGTCAGAAGTCTTTTAAGAACTTTTCCACATTGCTTTAAAGTTTGAAAATATGTATTAATTGGTTAAAGCCATTGTCTTTCATTAAATCAGAAATAACAGTTTACATAGAACCCCTGTGATTTTTCTACTTGTATCTTTAGATATGGGCTGATAAAAGTTAAACATTCTCTACCACATTGTTGTTATGAGAGGCTGAAATTTTCAAGGTTTCCCCTCCAGAATAAAACATGGTGCAATTTAAAACAAAATGAGACGAATTGGTGATAATGCAAAATAAGAATTGTGTACAATAAGCTAGATTTCCTTACGGCAGAGAAAAATAAAAATGCTGAAAGGGGATACTAGGGACAGTTTTTTTTTTTTTCATTGTTTTAAAAATAAGAATTTCAAAAATAGAAATGGGTAGAAACTAGTTATACACTGTAGCCCTTTTCCATATTCCATACAGTTCTTGGGTTACTACTGGCTTGGATGGTCACCAAGTTTGGTTATTCACATTTCTCACCCTGACACACCCCATCTGCTCCCTCCTGAAGGTATGTGATCACAGGTAGCATGCCTTATCAAGCAGTATGTAGTGACATCCCCTGTCAACTGACAAAGGCTGTTTGTTGTGCCTGTTCCAAAGCAGTGTTTACTGATAATGGTGGAGTGGGTACATAATTTGAATTCCTAAGCAGAAGTTTATTACATTAGCTCAGGCCTGAGGATTCTTGCACAATTTTGAGAGAGAGTGCAAGAAAGAGAGAGAGAAAGAAAGATAATTCTTGAAAATTCAAGAATCCATTGAGATCAATAAAAGAGTTATTCTAATCTGCGGATGAGACCAAACCCACAGCTGTAATTAAGATCCTTTGGTTGCCTCAACAACAGATTAATTCCTCTTTTCAGTTAAAAGGCTGATGTCATGAAAGCAATATTTTACTGGAGAGAACTTGCTAAAATCTGTTTGCTTAACAAAGCAATTATTGATAA